CTCTCAGCCTCCTCAGATCTGGCCCAGCCCACCTTTCCACCTTACCTTTTCTGCACAACTGCCCACAGCTAGCCCAGCCGCTAGCCCAGCCTACGCAACAGCCAGTCTGGCTCCCCCACAATGCAGAGCCGGCACTGGCCACAGGAGCCAGGCCCAGTCCCATCCAGGGCCTGCCTGCCGCAGACGAATGCTACAGACACAGCTGGTAGCACATGGCACTGTTTATTGTGACGCACGGTGGAAAACATCTGTAGACCAGCTTACTGCAGTGGTGACCGCTGCAACACATGCTCAGGCACTTTTATTATATAAAATAGAGGGGAGGGCGGGAGTTCCACCCGCTCCTTTGTGACAGCAACCGGGACCTGAATTCAGAGCCTTGTAGGCATATGCAGCTTTCGTATCGCTTCATGATTTGAGTTTGTTTCCTTTAAAAAAAATGCCTTCTTGCCGTAAGGCTCAACACGGCATATAGAAAACGGTTAGGAATACAGGTAAATTCGGCAACCAATGTAGACCAGTGAGGACGAGCTACTCTCTTCTAAAGAAAGGCAGTGAGAAAGCCTCAGAATTTTTTTTATTAGTAGAAAAGGGAAAAAAGAAAACCTTTTTGTTTTTCTGCTTTCAAAAATATCTGCAGGTGGCAGATTTTTAAACCATACTGCATCTACCGTGCAGGTAAACTACCCTCGGGCCTGGAGGGAGACGGGATGGGGGTGGGAGGCACGTTCATAACAGTCCCAAGAAGGTCGAGGGAGGCGTGCGGCAGGGTCTGGGAAGCGGAGGCTGCAGTGTCCGCCTGTCCATGTGTCTCAGGCTGCAGGAGAGAAGGCTTATTCAAAGGTTTGGCCTCAGCTCCATCCGCTTTGCCATCCACCTCCTCTGAGCATTTGTCGGGGCAAACGGCAGGTCCCCACGCCTGGGGACAGAGGCAGAGGCAGAGTCAGCAGGGAGTTTGTGTGCTGTGCTCCCCTGGCAAATCCCAAAGCAAATTCGAGAGGGAAATCAGGCGCCTGGCTGCTCCCACCAGAAAGAAGCAAGGCGGAGCCTTGGGAGTCACAGCTCAGCTGGACAGGAACGCTCTCAAAAACCTCTTCCCGCAAAATATTTAGTGGTCAGACATCTTCATACACAACAGCAGCACACAAACAGTTCAGGCAAACAGGAACACTTACAACAGGAAAGGCAGAAAAGTGTAAAATGCCACCTTCTGTTCCAACTCATAAAACAGGTGACACCACAGCGGGTACACAGGTGAACCACAGCGGGTTCACACAGACAGGCACCTTCTATCCCACGGCAGGAAATTCACATCCAATACTGACTACTGATGCTTAAAAAAAGGCCCCATGAAGCCCAGACATGGAGGTGCATGCTTGTAATCCCAGCACTTTGGGAGACCGAGGCAGGTGGATCACCTGAGGTCAGGAGTTTGAGACCAGCCTGACCAACATGGTGAAACTCCATTCCTATTAAAAATAGAAAAATTAGCCAGGTGTGGTGGCAGGCTCCTGTAATCCCAGCTCCTGAGGCAGGAGAATCGCTTCAACCCAGGAGGCGGAGGCTGTAGTAAGCCAAGATTGTGCCATGGGACTCCAGCCTGGGCAATCAGAGTGAAGTCTCCAAAATAACAAAAATTCCCATGAAAAGAGGTAAGAAATGAGAATCTCAGAAAATAAGATCCTCTGCTGCAAAGCCCCTTGCCCAGTGTCACAAGAAATGGACGTGTGATGCGGGACCCTGGTTAGAAGCTCTGGGCGTGTGGCCCACCAGCCCCACTGCCCCGCCTGCTGCCCCTCTGGATGCCCCCAGCGCCCGAACCTGGTCCTTGTAGTGCTCGGCGTTCCTCCGCTTATCATCCACCTGCAGCAGCATATCCTTCAGCTGCTTCTCTGTCCGACGCACCTGCTTACAGGCTGCCTGGCGCTCCCTGTGTGGTAGACAAGGTGGCTCAGAGGGAACACCCTCCTTCAGAGGGTCAGGCCAACACATCCTAATTCTGGTCACCCCACCCATTCCCCGGGCCTCACTGGCATCTAGGGATCACCTAGGGAGGCCTTTGCTGGACGCCTATGACGTGCCTGGCTTCTTACAAGGGGCACTGCAAATAGTCCCATTTACAAATGAGGAAACAGGCCTCAAAGAGCATCTATGTAGCTGGAAAAGAGGTTTGGGGCCTGGTGTAACTCCCATTGTCTCAGTCCTGCTGAGCCCAGAGATCAGCTGTCCTGGTGGGCAGGACCGCCCTCTACCTCCTCATCCTTAGACATAGCCACCAAAGCTCCTGGCTTTAGAGGTGGAACAGATGATCCTGTTCAAACCCCACAAGCTCCCCCCACCACCCATCCAGTGGAAGGGATAAGGGCCCCATCAGGAGGGAGGAAAACAGCCCCCAGGACTGAGAAGACACAGCTACACAGCTGGTTGCTGACCCAAATCTGGGCAGGACTACAGAGGGGCTGGAGGTTTCTCCAGGCCAGTGGGGGTGGAAGCAGGGGCAGGAGCACGTACTTGGTCTCATTCTCCAGTTGCTCCTCCAGCTGTGCGATCTTGGCCTCGAGGGCAGTGAGGGAGGCCTTGTACATTAACTTCACAGAGCCCTCCACCTCCTGCAGCTGGACCTTGAGCTCCTCGTTCTGCTGCTCCAGTTCCTGCCGAGCGTTCTCGATCTTCTGGGCGTGGCTGCGCTCCAGGTTCAGGTCAGTGTTGATCTGGTCGATCTGCAGGAGGAGGGCTGGTGACCTAGGGAGGGCTGGGCCCTGGCTAAAGGGTATAAGCAGGGCAGGAGGAAGGTGGCAGCAGGATGCCACCACACCCTCGACACCCAGCAAAGAAGCCGGAGAGTGATCTTTCATGTCGTTGCCTGGACATATTCCCTCAAGCGGCGGGGGAAGCGGCGGCACGTGGCCTGTGCATCTGCTGGCTAGGTCCGAGGCCAGCTCCACCAGGGTGGCTCCAGAGCCGAATGGGAGAAGGCTGGCCGGCGCTGGCACTCACCTGCAGGTTGGCCTTCTGCAGGCGGTCATAGATCAGCTCCCTGTTGCCCTGCTCCTCCTCCAGCTCCTCGATTAGGGCTGGCCAGGGCTCTGTGGGTGGGTGGGGAGGAGTGAGGGGCCCAGCCCAGGGACACACCTGGTCCCTCCACAATCTGACCCCCTTACTTAGTCCACCCTTTGCCGCGGCTGTTGGCGATCTCGCGGCCAGCTCGTCCCGATCCTGCTGGGCCTGGCGCTTGGCAAGCTCCGCGCTGCCAGTTCCTGCCACAAAGATCCAGAATGGTGACCTTGAAGCAGCCACAGCCCACAAGACCATCCTTCCCAGCCCTGGGCACCCTCCCTCTCAAGCCTTCCCCAGCCCCACTTCCCCAGAAAGCCTTCCTCCACGATTCCTCCTAGCTCACAGGGCTGGTGGCCCCCTAAAGTCATAGCTTAAAGCATTGTATGTTTATAAAACTCAACTACATTTAAGTTGCTAGGAATCAAGCCAGGTGCCAGGGTAGTTGATGACTTAACAGTGTCCTGGCCTAACCAGGGCAGACCACATGGACAGAGCCGATCACTGCTGCCCCGACCCTGTTCTGGTAGCCAGAGCCCGGAGTCAGCTCCGGAGCCTGCAGGCATGAGACGGCTGTAACCCTGGACGCACTCACACCCCGGCAAGTTACACTGCAGGGCACCCTCTAGACCCAGGGGAACACTTCAGGACTGGCTCAGGTGCGACACGGACAGAGGCAGCCACGGAATGCTGAGACCCTCCTGTCACCAGGACACAGTCACGGTAGGAGGTGGTGGCAGCCATGGAGCCTCATCTGATGTGAGGCATTTCACTCACACACAATCTCATACCAAGGGAGGCCCACTATGTAACGGAACCCTGGAGGGAATCCTTTTGTAACGCGAAGAGCTGTCCCCAGCCAATTCCTGGAGCTGAGTCGGACCTTAGCCCTGCCCTCTGCTGAAAGCCCTGTGCTGCACACATGCTGGCTGCCGGGCAGCAGTGCCGCTCTCCGCTGCCGCCCCACCCACCTCCTCCAGCTGGATCATCTTGGCCTCCATGATCTTCAGGTTCCTCTCATTCTCTTTGGCCTGGGCCAGGATCTCCTCACGAAGAGGCGCGGGTGTCCTCCAGCTCACGCGTGCAGTCGTTGACCTGGCCTGGGCAGGGACAGAGGCTTGGCCCCCACCCAGGTCCTTGGCCTCGGCCCTCCACCCCCACCCTCCCACGTCATCTCACACACAGGTTTGTTGGCTGTGCTCTGCTCGATATTTAACCAACTAACCGTGGTGACAGGGAGAAAAAGCAACTGAGGACAAAAATCTGTGTCCCACTTCATAACGCACACTGACAGTGTTGGTCACTGTGGACGCAAGCCAAGCTGAGCTTCATTTTCCACTTCTGTCCCCTCTGTAGGCCGGAGCATGCCACGGTGCACGGTGCCACCCCTAATGCGCACCTGCCGCTTGAAACCAGTGCCCAGCCTGGCAGGTGTCCCCACCACAGGCAGGAAACACCTTTCCTTTTGTTACTCATCTCCTATTTGTTTTAATGCTAAAGATTTTGTCAAATACTTTTTTTTCCATTTGCAGATAATACAAAAAAACAGATTCCCCAAGCCAAAGCGCATAAGGGTGTGTGCAGCCAGACCACAGCAGCAGAACATGCCAACAGCAGAGTATCTGGCCACACACCTTGCCCACAGTTAGCTTTTACAGATTTTTGTTTTTGCCCAGGCACAGCAGCTAACACTGTAATCCAGTCCTTTGAGGCGAGGCTGTCAAGATCCGAGGTCAGGAGTTCGAGACCACCCGACCAACTCAGTGAACCACTGTCTCTACTAAAAATACAAAAATTAGCCAGGCATGGGGACACACCCTATAATCCAGCTACTCGTGAGGCTGAGGGGAGAATCACCTGAACCCAGGAGGCAGAGGTGTGGTTAACAAAGATTGCGCCCTGCACTCCAGCCTGGGCAAAAGAGC